ATTATTATTATTATTATTATTATTATTAGTTTCATGCTTAGTTAAAATGAATTGTATAAGGCAAGTCACCACTGTTAAGAAGCATGTCACCCGAGTAATAGTGGTGGCAAAAACATACTGGTATAAAACAAGTTGTAAAGTGGAACCATGCTTTATCTCAGTTGCTAACTGGCTTTGGTCTGAAAGTAATATTTGTATATTGATTAAATAATTTCTGCGACAGACTGACGACCTGTCCAGGGTGTACCCAGCTTCTTGTCTGGAACGTTACCTGGAGATAGGCACTAGCAACCCTCCCGACCCCACTAAGGGACAAGGGTGTACAGAAGATGGATGGATGGATGGATGGATGGATGGATGGATGGATGAAATAATTTAAAATATTTTTTTCTGTTCAAATGGGGCAGGTTATTACAATAATCTAATCAGTTTATAGTTCATAAATATAATTAACATAGGAAACTTCCTGAAGCTTTTGACACTTCTGCTCTTAACTGTCATGGAGGATGAAAAGAAGGTCCTCAGGAATGTAGGTGACTGTCGGGTTGCCTGAGTTGTTTGAATTTTTTTCTAACCTTCTGACAGTGTTGACAAAACTTGGGACAAACAATAAATATAGCCATAAAAAAATCACCATTATTTTTCTTTCTTCTCATTTGATTTTAACCCTTTCATGTATAGTGGTCACTACAGTGGACAGCTTTCTAAAAGCCATTTTCTTGTGCTTCTTGTGGATTTCTATGTTATAAATGCACACAGACCACTAAAGTAGACACCAATGCATCATTAAATACATTATCAACTACTTGCCATCAGCTGCAAATGCAAGAAATTATTTTTGTTAAATCCAATATGGCCGACAGACATAAAAGCATGCCAACCGACCTTGTCCCTCCGTCTATTGTAGACGACTCTTGAAGGCAAAAAAGCCAAATTGTGACATCAGATAACCTCTAAAGAGCAATACTACTGATGTATTTTTCAAAGAACTTTGTATTTGGAGAAAATTACAATTGATCACCTAAAAAAATAAAATAATATATATATATATATTTTTACAAAATGTTTTTCCTACCTTTTTTTAATGCCTGCCTTAAGAAAATAAAAGAAATTTTAAAAAATCCTGACACAAAGGATCATAATTCATGCATGAAAAGGTTAAAAAATATTTTTTTCATCAAATCATCAAATCAAAATGTTGCCCTCCTGATTAAAGAGAATCTAGTGGGTGCTTAACCTTCACAAAATAACATAATTTATTGTGGCCTGTACTTGTTTAAGAAATTATACTCCCCAAAATGTTTAAAATTTGTTTGTTACCCCTTTATTTTATAAACTGAATATTAGTTGGAGATATTTAGATTTTTGTGCTCAAGTAATTTAATAAATTATTTTAGTCCTCTTTCCACCTCTGTTGATTCAGAAGTTACTGGAAAATACTAGAATTGTCATTATAAATTAAAATAATGGGTAACACTTTATTTGAAGGGGTACACATAAGACTGACATGACACTGTCTTAAACATGACATAACACCTGTCATGAACATAAAGAAGTCTTTATGAATGTTTATGACAGTTGTCATGAAGTGTCATTTGGTAAATAATGACACTTTTAATGCAAAGTTGCTCTAAAAGTTGCATTGAAAGTCCATTAAAAATGCCAACTTTGCATTAAATTATCATAATTTACAAAATCATGCAAAGTTGGCACTTTTAATGGACTTTCAATGCAACTTTTAGAGCAATTTTGCATTAAAAGTGTCATTATTTACCAAATGACACTTCATTACAACAGTCATAAACATTCATAAAGACTTCTTTATGTTCATGACAGGTGTTATGTCATGTTTATGACAGTGTCATGTCAGTCTTATGCACACCCCGTCAAATAAAGTGTTACCAAATAGGGTACAAGCTTTAACCAAAACCTTGTGTTTTACAAACTCATTTAATGTACTGCACAAAATTGATGCTGAAATTAAAAAGGGACTTGTCCTGACATTCTCACTATTTTTCCAAAGTGTCACAAAAGCAGAGCTTAGGCTATGTCACAACATTAAACAAATAACGATAATAAATGCATCTAACTTGAATAAAAACATCAACCGTTGCACCTCCAATGGCAAAATGGCAACTTGTTCCACTTTAGTTGTTTTTTGTAAACTCGCCTGCCTCCCAGCGCAGAGCCATGGCACTCTTCCGTCTTCCTCCGGTGTAGGCCTCAGGAAACTGAAAGGCAGGTAAAGATTTCCTTCTGTTATTACACCGTTATTACTATCATCTGTCTGCTCTCTTCTCTCAACTTATTTGACTTCCAGCCATTCCACACATGGAAATCAGCATGAGCTGTCTGCTCAAATGCACCACGGTCAGGTGTGTGTTTTGTTTTTTTCCCATGACTGAAACGTTTGGATGACTGGTCCTCTGCTGTTAGAAGGTTTATGTGATGCACCACCACTGATGTTGATCTCCTCATGCAGTATTTGCATTGATCTCAGCTACTGTTGTTTTTTGAGAGCATTCAGGGTCAGCACTCTTAGACAGTCACAGGATTTTAGTCATTTTATTAAGAAAATAACTAGGCTGATATTTGACTCTGCATTGAGTACATTATTTTCCCTTGATCACAGAATACTGCATCACTTTAGATGAAGGTTGGGCGACATCCATTCTTCCAGTCATCATGCCTTCCTCACACCATAGTATCTTGTTTGGGTTACAATCTGCTGAGACAGGCTTATGATAAGTTTTTCCTCACCATGTTTTTTCATGTGTTTCAAGTATGTCAGATATGATGCACAGGTTCTTCCTATAGTTTTTCACTGCTTCAATATCACCAATCTACGTGTTTCAAAAAATAAATGAAGCATGAATATAATAAACTGAAAACTTTCAAATAGGAAGGTGTTGTCATGTTATTTTTTTTTTACCAGTTAAACAAATTAAACCAACTTTCATGCATCTGGCGTGAGTCTTTTTTAGAGGTTTTTCTTCTGATCACTTTGATCACACAAGCATTAAGGAGAATAGCCCTAACTTTGGATTAATGTGCATCTCATCTTACATCTAGCAAACAGAAATGACAGAGATTGAATCTGAGTAGAATCAGAATCAGTGTAGCTAAAAGAGAGAGGAGAAGGACGGTTTTCTTCCTAGGAGACTGAACTCACCCTGTGATCACAGGATAAGGCAGAGCGATCCATCCTGTGGGTTGTTTTCATTGGCGATGATGGAGAGGACTTGCATTTAACTGGTACAATACCTATTAATGAGATTGCACACATGAATTATGAATAAACATAAAATGTTGCGAGTGATGTAATGTATTGAGTATTTTACTATTATACCTGAGGTATCAAATGTCAAAGTGTCCATGCGATTTGACAGGCCAGTTTCTGTGCTGAACATGTCTTTACCATACAGTGTTGCCCTTTCCTTTCTGAGCTCTTCCTCCCTCTGCTTCACCATCCTTATCTCTTCATCTACCAGAGAGATTGTGCTTCTTGACCGCAGTTTGAAGAAGGGGTTATTGAGGAACATTTTTTCCTGGGGCTCTTCACAGGTTTTATTAAGGGAGAACTCAGAGGCACTTCGAATGATCAAATTAGATGTTTCAAGGATGATTAGATTGGAACTGTTTTCCTCAGAGCACCATTCTACAGGCCCAGAAGTTGTGTTGTCGTTGCCACTTTTGGAGCTGAATGTGAAATCATTTCTTGGGTCTACAATTATAACATTGTTGGCAGACACTTCATGCTTTACCGGTTCTTTTGTTGGTGAGGACGTTATAATAAATGATGGAGTCAGAGGAGTGCTTGTGGATCGAGGGATACTTCGTGATGGAGCACAATCTGTTGATTTTCCCATCCTGGCCAGTCCCCTCTCTCTTTTCAAGTTTTCCTCCCTCTCCATTGAAATACGAATCTCCCTTTCAATCGGTGTTTCAGCATCATCATAGGGGGACCTGTAACTGGAATCATCCAGGCCAGAGTCTTCTGAACAAGGGCTGAATTGGGTGTGAGAATAATCTGTGACCAGGTTTAAACTCTCCAGATCCCGCGCTTTCTTGGGAGTTCTTTCAATATTGCGGACTGGTGTATACATGAAGCTGTGACTGCTTTGGAGGTGTGACTGCTTTGTTACAGGTAAGACAGTCTTATTTTTCATTTGCGCCTCCATTTCTCTCCATTGCTTGCGAGCTAGCTGGAAGTCTACGTGTTCTGTACTGACATTTTCACTCTTTGTCTCCTGAATTACACAGAAGTCTTTGGGTAGCTTCTTGATTGTTTCCACACTGGTGTTCTCTTGGAGTTTGGAGTGGTCATGATTAGCATCTCTGTAGCTTTCACTTTCATCTTCAGATATTTTTGACAAACCTTGAAGGCTGAAAGGGCTGTACTTAACTTCTTGAGGGGGCATTGGAGAGGAAGGCACTACCTCAGGTTGTTCCAAAACGTCTGGTACTTTTGGGACCTCAAAGCTAACCTCTTCAAAGTTGCTACTCTCCTGATCATTATAGTCTGTCTCCTCAACTTTCTGAACAAAGAGCTCCTGGGCACTCAGCTGAAGACTATCCAAATATGAGTCATCATCTTCTTTATTTATGGAAGAAGAGAAAATTGCTCTCCATTTTTCATCTGTATCACTGTCAGAAGAAGCTGCTGCAATCTCAACTCTCAAACATTCATCTATGTCTTCGGGGTTATGGTAGGACTCATTTGACACATCTGACATCACCTCTTCTCTTATACACTGCTCTAATGGAGACTCTTCGTGAAAAGGTGGTTCAAATAGGATTTCATCTGGCTCTGGGCCTTCATCTGGATATTCTGCTAGACTTTGATAGGGCTCATCATCTAAATTGATGATATCTCCTGCCTCAGGGTCAAGTTCACCGTATAAATCCAGCTGGGGGTCATTGTCAAGTATAGAGTATTGCTCAAGCTCATTGCCTTGTTCAGATTGAAGGTCTTGTTCGTGCTCAGGATAATCTGGCATTTCAAAATTGTCTTTAGTTTCTTGGTCAGTTTCTTGCTTTGACATGTTCACCAGACCATCATCTTCCTCTGGCTCTGGATACTGTTCTGATTTTGGCACCATTTCAGGCTTAACACACTGCTCTGACTCATGACCCTGATCATGATCTTGTGTGTCTTGCCTCCTACAGCAGGCCTCGTTCTCACAAACACTGTCAGCACTGGAAAGGGTATCAGACAGAAATGAGTTGATTGACTCATTCCTATTGAGCTCTTCATGCCCTTGCACTAATTTTAATGTGTCTTTTTCCTCTTGACAGGGCATGAGGGTGCAAAGACTGCTTTCAGAGCAGTTACTGTTGTCAGCCAGGCTTGTACTGCTAGGAACATAAGTTAATGATGAGCTAACTATTGCTTCCTGAGAGTCTGATAAATCTGTTGTTAACCCAGTTAGCTCATCACTAGCGCTGCAATCCATTTCATGCACAGGTGAATCAGACACAGCACCCTCCATTTCACAGTCCATCACCAGCTTTGATTGTTCGGCTGTTTCCATGGTGACAGAAATGAAGTTGTGATTCTCAGTTGTGCTGCAAGGCTCTTTCAGTACTTCTTCATCTGCCTCTTTATCCACAGAGGTAGCTTTCTGTGTAAAAACAAAGAACAGAAAGGAGAACAGTAAAATCATGAACTTTGTGTCCCTTTAACTGCAAATGCAACGCTCAGATTTTTTTCTTCTGTCCGTACCTCATATGTCTTGTTGCATTTAATGTAATTTTTGGTTACTTAAAAAGTGAAATGAGATGTTTATTTTTTGTCTGTAAATAAGAAACAAACAGCAGATCAAGTTTACAGAATTAAGGAGGCAAATTCCTTATTATTATGTCCTTAGTGGATTAGTATTTTTCAGCAAGGGCAAACTGTCAGGCAGCAACAGCACCGCCACAGGAACAGTGCTGGATGGTGTCATACCATTGTGACAATCTGAATTCCAGTCTAACTTTCCTTTAGTTCCCTCTGTGGTGAGTTCATTAATGTGTGTGTTGTGTTCAGGGCTTGGCAGCAGGAGGTTGTGCTTGCTGTTGCTATGCTTTCTGAATGCTTTCCTTTCAGTTCTGTGTAAAAAGAGAGGAAGTTCAGGAAATGCAGCTAAATTAGATGGTTTGATGTGTGTTCTTATGCAAGGGTGCTGGACTGGGTCAGCCTCCCACACACACTCCGAGATAAGAAATTGTCCCTGCAAGATGACAAGCTGTTCTCATCCCTCCACATTTTTCACACAAACACACACTTGCTTTACTAGATCCTGTGTCAAATGTCACTGATTCATTTCTCTGCCCTGAATGTGACTATATGTAAACAAGTCATAAATAAATTGACTTGAGGTAGATTTGTCAGTGGTCCTACTCAATTGTAAACAGCCGTGGGGATTCACTTCACATGACCTGTTCAAGCCCTTCCTTCCTTCCTTCCTTCCTTCCTTCATGATAGAATCATAAAGATTATATCTTTATGATTCTGTGCAATCCTTTTGGTTAATGAATAGGCCTTCCTTCCTCAGGCCTATTCATTAATTTTGTAACTTTAAAACAGGTTTTAATGTTACAGGAAAATAACATTAAAATAAAGAGAAAATGTTCATTATCATAATGCATTCTAAACAGTGTTATATCTCATGCAATGTTTCTTGAAAGCCACCAATGGGTGCTTGAATCTAAATCAGTTTGCAGCAAAGACACAACTGTTCCAGCAGGGTGTGTTCAGAGTCATTTCTTATTTTATGAACATAATGTGCCGTTATCTCAAGGCTGACACTCTCACAACTCCTGAATGTCACAATGCAGATTTAACAATGACAGTATCATTATTAATTATGAGTTTAAGAGCTCCATTTATTTCCTGCATAAACTTTGACTAAAACCAAAAATATACTACACACTTAGATACAACCACTTCCCGTGTGTGTCTCTAAACATGAACCTATAGATGCTGGCTCCTCACAGGACAGATTGTTGGTCCTTATCACATGTCATCAGTTGCTAAGATCTTGGTGAGTTAACATAAAATGAGTACAATGATACATTCTCACAAGCTCCTTCAGGGACACGTGCCTGCAACAGACTGAGTGTCTTGGTAACCATCAGCAGGCCTGACACTCACTGCAATGCTCAGCTGTCACCTCCTCCCCCTCAACACCTCATCAGCAGACTGCTAAATGTGATGGGAAGCAGGGCTGCACTGAAATGCCAGGGGGAATAATGGAAATCAGCATAAAACACAACAGATAAATTCAAGCTGATGCAACTATTCAATGTATAACTACGAACATCCACTTTCAGCCTGTCCAGCTAATTAAATGAGGATGTAGAGCAACTACTCAGTGCAGCAGAGCGACAACAGGAAGTCTAAAAAGACAGAGGATCAGATATAACTCAGGAAAAATCTGAAGAAAGTAATAACTTTAATATTTTGTTCTGCTGCATAATGGTTAACATGAGGTTGTCAGTATTCACCCATTTCTTCCTCCTCTGTTTAATCCTGTTGAGGGTCATGGGAGGGCTGGAGCCTATCCCAGCTGTTCCTGGGCAGAAGGCAGGTATGGTCGTACGTCAGACACACCACCAGACAACTAGGAAGCAACACCACCTCACCTGAGGACAACCTGGAGCTAATGACCCTCGCCAGTGTGGGGTAGGATTATTGCTGGGGAAGACTGGATTGCTGAATAGATAAACTGAAGCTAATACAACTTATGCATGAAATGGACACAAGAATGTGCATAAAGAAATGTGCATGAATTCAAAATTAATGTATATTACTACATATATTTCTCTATATTTCTTGTTGGAAATATAGAGAATATATATTACAGTTTGAAAAATGTATTCCAGGAGTCTGACTAAACAAAGTACATTTTTTCTCAGTTTTTTTATAGACAGTGGCAGGATCTAAGGAAGCAGCCAAAACAAGACATGTTTTATTTCCGTTATCTGAACTGGGTTCATCATATTGCAACAAACAAGTGATGTGGTGTCATCTAAGATGGTTTGAACCATTAGCTGTCCCAAACACTCCTCATCAAGGAAAGGTACTTTTGACTGTTGGAAGAAAAACCCCACAACATAAATATCAAATTTTATGAACTGTAAAAGTTTTTTGTTATTAACCTATTTAGCAAAATGTTCCGTTTTCAAGATGTCTTCATAAAAGAGGTAAAGGCAAATTTAGTAAATCAATATGCTGAAAGAACTTAATCTCTGTGAGAGATCGTCCACATAGTAACAATATCCTGGAACATAATGTTGCACTGGGAGGAGAAAACTCTGAACCAAAATTTAATACAACAAATACACACACATGTATTTTACAGAAATGTTATCAAGCCTTCATGCATGAATTATGATCCTTTATGTCAAGATTGTTTTTTCCAAATGTTTTTGATTTTCTCAAGGCATAAAAGTTGGGAAAAATTATTGTAAAAAGAAAAAAAATCTTGGATTTTTTTTCTAGGTGATCGGTTGTAATTTTTTTCTAAATACAAATTTGTTATTTGGAAAATACATCAGTAGTAGCAGTCTTGAGGGGTTTCTTCATTTTTTTTTTTTTTACCTGCAAGCGATTCTACAATAGAAGGAGGAACTGGATATTGCTTTTTAATTTTTCTGCCATTTTGGATTTAACAAACATTTTCTTGCTATTGCAGAAATGCAAGAAAATGCAGTGTATAGTATGATGCACTAGAGTTCACTTCAGTAGTCTGTGTGCATTTATAACATAAAAATCCACAAGAAACACAAGAAAATGGTTTTTAGATATTGTAGCTGTCGAATGCAGTGACCTCTATGCATGAAAGTTTTAAGATGAGGCTAAGGAGAAATGACGCCCTTCTGTGGCTCATGTGATTAGCAGTCATTAGAGAGCAACAACCTAAAGTGAAACTCACTCCAAATCAACTTTTTCTGGTGATAAACTGTCTAAATATATTACTTATGATTCTATCTTTATGATTCTGTGCAATTCTTTTGGTTTGGCATTGTTTTGCCTGAAACCGTCTCACTATGGGGCTCTACGGTCAAACAGTCTTTAGGCAGTTGAATTTTCCTTTTGGTTGCAGCAATACTCCTTGATACAACTTGTCTTTTCAAAGCCCCAGTGGATGTTGGCAGACAACCATTCACACTGAGCCAGGTTCTGGTTCTTTTGGAAGTTTTTCCTTTCCACTGTCACCACATGCCTGTCCAGGATGAGTGAATGCTGCAAGTAAATGACTCCATGCAGTCTGTTGGGTTTCCATAGATTGAAACTTTTTAAACACTGTGAATAATAAACTGAATTTGACTGACTGCATTGATAACTGTGTGTATAATTGGACTGAACTGACTTTTTCTGGTAACAAGATGATTGAGTCCTGAATTGGACTCAATCATCCAATTGAGTCCAATTAAATAAGATGAATCAAACTGAATTTCTTTTATTTTAATTATTTTCCAAAATTATTTATATAGCAATGTCAGCTCATGGAACCAATGCACTACAAAAACAAACTGTAAAGTTTGTTTCTATTTATTCTTCAATCAGTTCCTGATACTGTCAACTTTATCATTGATGACAAATTTTTCCATACTTTTCCAGCAGCTTAATAGTTTTCTTATTGAGTCTGTTTATTTTCCATAAAGATGTTTATGAAAAATATGGAACACTTTGACTGTGTGTTAGAAAAGCATCCAAACAACAGCAATATCATGCTTCTCCCAACCCATTTGATCAAAGCACTGAAATTATACATAAAGTATTCCCCAGCATAAATAAGCGTTATTTTTTTAAATCATGTTGCTCACTGTGGGGGCTGCCAGAACTTGTTTTGTCTTCAAAGACACCACAAGTGCAAAATCACAATAACTCTGTCATTATAATGACTACACTCACCACCCACACGCACACAAACTTACACACACACGCACACACACACACACGCACACACACACAGCCACACCTGCACAGAAAGCAGAGGCATGCTCTGACTCTGCTCCTGTCTGTTCCTTCATCTCAGAGTGGAACGCTCCAACAGATCAAGATCACGTGGAGCTGCTGAATGTTTGTGCTCCTGTATTATAAGTACTGATTGCACTGCCACAATACACAAACGTGCACCTAATGGCAGCAAAAAGCATGAATAAAAACAGTATGGAGGCAAGTTTTTTTTTTTAAAGTTCTACAGTTAGAAAAATAAAAAACCCTCTTTTCATTATGACTCTGAACTAATTGTCTGCACTAGGATGCACTATGTAATGTGGGCAGTGATATAAAAGGCTGAATGTCTGGTTGTTAATCAGTGGAATAGACTTTCAGAACACTGGACAGCAACAAAATGATCATTGAACTGATGAAACATTTTAAAATCAAAATCTGCCCTAAAACACACACACACAAATACATCAGAGAAATGCCGTCTAAAGGCAGAATATGAAATCTGGATGAATAGCATAAAGCATTCATAATTAATGTGTGGAGAATATCTATGTAACCACGGCGGGCATCTAATGATCGGACAATTTGAGCCTTTAGTATTGATTGCTTTATCAGCTGATTACCCTTAGCAAGTTTTTTTTATTTTTTTATCAGCAACAACTTACCCCATATGAGAAGTGTGATAGACAGTAATGATCCATGGAGACACACTGACACTGCACATATTCGACACACAGCCTAGTCTCAGTCTAGGACTCTGCTCTGCTCTGAGGTTTGCTGCATCCCTCCGTGCACATCCACTCAAAACACATGACGTGATTCTCGTTTTAGCAGCTGAAGCCGACAATGCTGAATACACTGAGGTACTACCAAAAAAATTCTGCTCAAGTTCTGAATGACAGTGTTTGTGTGTGTTTGTTTTAATGAACCTACCTGAGCCAAAGTGGTGGGCTAATGCAAAAGGATCTGCTCTGTTTCTAAGTGCTGCTGTGCACTGACAGCTCTGACTGGAAGCTGCTGCCTCTGATTGGATGGCTACTGAAGGGGAGGCAATGCACAGGAGGCAGCCAATACTGGGGCTTTCTCTGATAAACACACACTGAAGAGGAGGAGAGCTAACCTTGTACTCAATGCCATAGCTCACTCAGTTAAATCACCTGCTCACACTTCTCTGCAAATGAGTTGGGAAGTGATGGAAAATTACAGGATGTTCGTGCAATTTGTCACAAATGTACTTAAATTAATTAGCAATTTAAGTACATTTGTGACAAATTGCACGAACATCCTGTAATTTTCCATCACTTCCCAACTCATTTGCCTTTAAGATCTTCACTTTATTTTCAAGCTGATCTGATATTGTCTTATCTATCTTCCTCAACAAAGGTTTAAATATCAGCCACAGGGAATTAGTCAGTTCAGCCTGAAAGTCCTTGTATTAACTGGACGTATTTAATCAGGCATGAGCCACAGCGGAGGAGGTGTGATCATTTTCTACCATTTTCCCATCCTAATAGTAAAGAAATTAAATAATTTTGTCATAAAATGAAACATCAAACTCTCAGTACTTCCATCTGCCTAGTGATGGAGCTGTTTCAGAGTAAATTCTTCTGTATCAAGGGATGAAGCGATGAAGCGTGAACAAACAAGCAAATGAACTTTAGAATCAGTAGAATGTTTTTCTTCTTCCTACGTGGGTTGGATTAGAAACAAAATGCTAAAACAATACCACCAACATGTTTTTATCCTGCAGGAAAGCAACTTTATTGATGTTGATATAGAGGTTATTTCTGACAAAATTTTTACCACTACAGATTTTGACATCAGTTAGAATCAGGAGCTTCTGTATTCACTGACCCTCTGCAGAATGCTGAACATCTTCTACTGGATTTAAGGGAAATCCTGAGTTTGTCATGTCGGCTTCACCATCCAACATTTTTATTTAAAACACGAAAAACCACTTATCACTGTGACCCAGAACCAGAAAGAACCAATAGTAGAATCTGAACATTAGTTAAACAGCATCTTATTAATAAGCAGTGGCCTACTATAAATACACTTAGACCAGGTAAGCACCAGCTGGTTAAAAATGACTCCAGTTGACACGTTCTGTTATTGCCACCTCCTGGCAAATACCTGTCATTACATAATCTTAAAATATCCAACACAGTTTGCATCTATAATTAAACAATTCCAATAAAAGAAAAAGAAGCCTAGCAGAACTCTGTCTCATCTTGTTGTTGAGCAGAGCTGCTGCGGTCTGATGCAGCCTGAGTCTGCAGGCTGCGCCTCGCCCTGGCCCTGTGTGGAGTGGCTGCCTTTCCCTGGCATGTGGATGAATGTTGGCTTGTGGAGCTCCAGATCCCTGCAGTGTGTGTAGCTGTCTCCAGCTGGCTGTCCTCCTCCAGCAGCCCTGGCTAGCCCCACTTTGGGTTGGAAGATTTTACTGATGCATCCTTCTGGGTGGTAGGACAGAAGTTCTTCTCTGTAGTGCAAATTACCAAGACACTTGTGGTGATCATTGTAATCCTCTTCACCATCACTGTCACCTATGGTCACTAGCTCAGCTTGAATGTCTTCCTCCTCTTCATCTGGAGCATTTTCATAGCCGATGAAAATCATTGTGACTGGTTCCTCCTCTTCCTCCTCTGGCAGTGTGTTGAAGAGCTTCACAGTGTTTTCTGTGGCTGGGTGGATGTGGAAGTCACTCCGTGTCTCATCAGCTGTGGTTGAGTCTCTGATGACTTTGGGTAGAAGTCGATTTAACCCCCAGTGAATCGGCTGGGTTGCAGGCATTACGTCAGAACTCACAGTAAGTGGCAGCGGACCACCCGGCTCTGCAGTGGTGGTGTCTGCCTGGCTGCGGGGTAATCCTGATGAGGTTGTAGCACCAGGGTCTGACCTTCCTGTTAGATTCATGTTATTTTTGAATTGTCCTGCAGTGTTACAACAGTGCCGCTTTGCTTCCTCATCAGGCTGAAAGGCACCTGAAGTGAAGTGCTGGTGAGGTTTAGGTGGAGGTAACTGCTCTTGTAGGTCTTGAATAAAGGCTGATTTTTCTTTATGCATTTGACTTGGTGCCCTTGGTGTTGCTGGCCTGCTGTTTCCTGTGTATGGCACAGAGAACACCGGATGATGGGACTGAACCTCAGAAGGCACTGTTTGGTCTGTGACCTGATGCAGAAGCTCTTCCACTTCAGTGCTGGACATCTCTCCCAGCGCGCCATCAGGGACTGTGTCCTCCATCAGCGGCACCACGTACACAGACGTGCGTCCATCATCGTATACCTTTAACCCTCTCTCGTGAATTCTGTCTGGGTTTACGGTCGCTGAAGAAACCACCTCATTTCTGCCCGTTCTGTTATTATGTTCTACACTGATTTGAATTGCAAAGGTTGCTGAAACAGAGAAAAAGACGTCCATACAGTGAGAACAGAAACATTACAGAGTTATAGTGAATAAAATGAAGTTGACTTAGTTTATTGGTTTCTTAGATGAAGCAATAACAATTTTCTTTTTCTTCTACCCAACAGAATACACAGGATCTGTTACTGGATTATAAACAGCCAGATTAATGACTCTTCACATGATTCTGTTTTTATTTACTGCTTCTCATTAGTGATTCTATGATGTATATATGACTTTTTATTCTTGTGTTTTTATGACGTAAAGCTCTTTGAACTGCCTTGTTGCTGGAATGTGCAAATCAACATGATTTATTGGTTTTGTTCATACATTGATGCATAAAAAACTTTGACACTGTAGAACAAGCATAAGACACACTAGCTAGAATGCAAATTGTGGTTTTTATTTAGTAACTATATTTATACGTTTTTTTCATTAGGTAAACAATGAGGTGATCCACTCTTCTGAAAGACTCGGATCATGATTTACAAAACATTGTGCTGTGTTTAACTGCTTTAATATTTGCCACCAGATTCTGCATCTGTTATTTGTGCCTCCCCAGTTTCCACCTGAATATTCTGCCAGTAGTGGGATTATTTTGCTAAACTGAAAAAATCTCTAAGCGTGTCCAGTGTCTGGTGAATCAGACCTTGTTTTGTTTCAGCACTGTTGGCTTCTTTAACTCCAGGGATTTCTGCTTTGCTTTGAGAAAATAACAATGGGATGTTTTGGGTTTTGAGAGGAGAATATGGCACATCTGAAAACAAAAGAAAAATTTGTAAAATTAAACACGTTAAAAGTTAAAGCATCATTTCAGATTGATCAAAATGGTTTAAGAACACGGTTTCATGACGTTAACAATGTCGTACTCATGTTCATATTTTTAAGTCCATTATGCTATCCTCCATGTTCACTGATCCCCTTGCTAAAGATGTGTAAAAGGCCTCAGATAGGGTTGCCACCTTTCAGAAATCCAAAAGGGACGCCCTCCACAGTGCGTCGTCCTACTCTCACGGGGTGGGACATCCGCTACAG